GGCACTCCCCCTGTGGAAGCGAACTGACCACCAGGGGGCAGCTCCTGCATTGAGCATCTGCCTCCTGGTGGTCAGTGCGCATTATAGCGACCGGGCGTTCTGCCATTAGGGTCAATTTGCATATTACACTTTTATTATATAGGATTTTTAAGCATTTGTCAAATATGTATTTTTTATTTGTTCTCATAAAATTGTAAATGGACATGCAGAGGCCTGGTAGTAGGAAGAGGTACCTGGGATGGATGGCCATTATTTCAGTTTCATTGGGGGCCATCTTTGCCTGCTGACTCCTGAAAACTAAGGTCTAAGACCTTTTGTTCCTGTATGACGGTGCCCTTTGTTGGAGGAGTTGGGTTAAAGGAGTCTGCTGTTTACCCGTTGTGTTTCCTTTAGTTTCCAGGTGAAAGAAGACCCACTCTCGCCCCCTATAACAGCCTAGCAACCCCATAGGCTTCTGTGCTTATGCACCCCAAGGGGTCTCCAAACAGGGTCAGGGCACACAGTAGGGCAGGATGGAGCCAGGGAGCCCAGCTGTTTATCTGCAGAGGCTAACCAGCCTTCCCCAACCTGACGACAATTATAGAAGATAAGACACCTCACATCAATATTTATACATTTCAAATACATAACGCAACACCATGTGAACAATCTCCTGAAAAGCGTAGCTGGATTTTAGGCACTAAATTAAATGAGCCCATGTGTCAGCAGTTTGGCCTATGTTTTTGCACTTTGGTGGCCTAGACCTATTAATGGCCTTCACAGTGTGAGGTGAAACAATCTCCAATCCTAGGGTCTGGTCACCTCTGTATTTAATCCAGGTCTGGAGGCTTCATGCCACACTGACCTGAACTCCCTTCTGGGTGTAAGAACCAGGCTAGATGTTGTGCTTGGCCTTTCTAACCGCACTGCAGGGATAAGCTAGCCCAAGGGAGGGCCAGGCCCTTTGTTGCTGAAGGGAGGGGGGAGAAGGGAGATGGGCAGAGGGTGCCCCGAGTTTGCTCTAGGTGTGATGGGGGCAGAGTGGGAGGTGGGGCAGTGAGAGGAGAGACTCATAGTCCTGCTGGGACATGGGATTGGAGCAGGCAAGTTCCAGGAAGGCTTTTAGCCTCTTCACACAGGGAAGAGTATGTAGTTTGTATTTTCCCCATGTTCGAAGAACACTTTGGTTTTATAGTCAGGCATTCTACTTAGTATCATGTTTTTGTTGAATGAATAGAATAAATTTATTCTCCGGGTATAGAGTGTATAGGCTAGTCATGAAAACAGAGTTTAGTTTTTATTTTTATTTATATTATAAGTAGTTACAAATCACCAGTTAAAGGGTAAGTGTGAAATACTGGTGCTGTTGGGTTGGGAAGCAGAATGAACCTAGCTGGGCCCAGGGAAGGGTTCCCAAGGAAGAGATGTTTCAGCAGAAGGATGAGTGGGAATTCTCCAGCCACAGGGGCAGGAGGGGCCTCCTGGGGGCGGCTCCCTGGTGAAGGCCCCCAGGAAAGAATGCTCCAGTTACTCACTGTTGTGGAGATGGCAGGTAGAAGTGGCCTGTGGCATCTGTTAATAGAGTTATTTTTTTAACAAAAAATAATATATTTTTATTGATTTCAGAGAGGAAGGAAGAGGGAGATAGAGATAGAAACATCAATGATGAGAGAGAATCATTGATCGGCTGCCTCCTGCATGCCCCCTACTGGGATGGAGCCCGAAACCCAGCCATGTGCCCTGACCGGGAATCGAACCATGACCTCCTGGTTCATAGGTCAACGCTCAACCACTGAGCAACCCCAGATGGGAAATAGAGTTATTCTTTATCCACAGGCAATAGAAAGCCATTAAAGGGGTCATGACAGTTTGTTGATCCAGCAACTTTAATGAGTGTCTACTCTGAGGCATTATTGCCCAAAGGCTAATCTAAGCCCACGGGGTACAGGCTTCAAAGATGGACAGAGTTCCTACTCTCTTTGTGTGTCGAAAGGCAAAAGAGCAAGAACCAAGTAATAAAATGAACATATAAGGAAATATCAGGAAGTGCTAAATGGCATAGGGTGATGCTCTACAGGAGGAGAAGGGGGCCGGGGAGAAGCTGCTGGGATGGGGTCCCAGTCAGGGAAATCCTGTCCTAGAAGCTGCTTTGAGCTGAGACCTGAATGATGAGGAAGATCTTGTGATGATCTGAGGAAGAGCTTCCACGCAAAGGCAAAGGCTTCTGCAAAGACCCTGAGGCCAGAACTAGCTTTCTAGGTTGCAGGAGCCCAAAGCAAGTGCTGTGTCTGGAGTGTAGTGAGAGGAGAGGGGGCCAGAGCCTCTGTTTCATGAGGAACTGTGGGGATTTTCTTCCCAGGGCTCAGGATCCTGTTGGAGAGTTTGAAGCAGGAAGTGACCTGTTCTGATTCATCTTTCGGAAGGATCACTGAAGTTGCTTTGTGTGATATAGATTGTGGGAGGCAGGTGTGGAAACCGGAAAGTCCTTTATGAGACTGTTGCTGTAGTCCAGGTTGGGATGGTGGTGAGGGAGAGTTGTGGACAGGGAGCAGACAGGACTTGGAGGTCAGGCCAATGGAATTTCCTAGTGGTTGGGAGGCAGGGGATGAGGAGAATAGAAGGATCCAATGTAACTCTTTGGTCTTGGATTTGGACTACTGGGTAAGTATGGGTACTGTTTACTGCAATGGGAGTGTGGCATTGTGGCTAAGCCATGAGCTATGGACTCCAGCGGGTTGGGTTGAAATCTAGGCCTTCCTGCATCTGCGGATTGAGGTCATATTAGTACCTGTTTCATAGGAAGTGAGGATTCAGTGAGTTAATATCTGTGTAGGATGTAGGATGGTGTCTGACACTTTGTAGGCATACGCACTGTTCTAGGAAAGACTGAGACAGATATTGTAGGGAGACCCAAGAATCGTTTTGGCCATATCAAGTCTGAAATGCCCAGTAGACAAACGAGTTTATATACCAAGAGCACAACGTGGGGAAAAGTCCAGGACATTCGAGAGTCGTCTGCCTTCTGATGTCTTGAAAGCTATAGGACTAGAGGAGATTGCCTCAGAGATCATTTCATAGATACAGATGAGTGTGGACTCACTAACCTTTAGGGATGATGTGAACTTTGCTTTGTAGGAAAGAATCAATCTCTCTCTTATGAGGGAAGCCTGTCAACAACATAATTTTGGGAGAGCATCTTCCTCCCACCATTTTTTCTTGGCTGCTGAGGGAAGGGAAAAAGTCTTACTCACATGTTAGGGTCGGGGAGGGGGCAGATAGCAAAATCGATTTTCTCCATTCATTAATTAAATCCCTGTTGTTAGTGTCCATGATACCCATTCCAGGACAAGCTCTATAGCTCATACAGTGAACATTTTGATGTGAGGGAACTGGGATGGGGTTAGTTGGGTAGAATTAGATTTTAAAGCACTAAAAGGAATGTTAGCTGTCAGAGAATCGCTGGTGACTACCAGAGGCAATACTTTGCATACTGATTAGGCAATCATGACCTATTTAGTTTGATTTATAATGAAAAGAAAATCTGTGGGATGGTAATGAAAGATCTTGGCATATTTTAGTCTGTGGTAGGATTCAGATTGGAACAGAACTGGATGAGTAGGAATAATTACACAGCAGACTGAAATTAGCTCCTTTCTAGAAAGATAACCATACAATAGCAGATCAAGAGATCCCCTGTGTCCCGGGTTTATTGTTGCTGTTTGTGTCATAGTTTTTTACATGTCTTGGTTTGAGAGAATCTAAGAGCAGACACAAAATATTCCCCCCTCCTTTTTTTAAAATGATCTCTGCTGCTCTTCTATGTTGTCTTTAGGCTTCAGGGAGGCACAGGGGATGTGTGTGGCTTGGGATCTAGCTGTGAGGAGGTCACTGGAGGAGATACTGAATCTTAATAAGTTTGGCCTGGGGTTTTGAGCACTGTGATAGGAAGAACAGCGTATATCCATAGTTCTGAGAAATTCCTAACAGTTATTGACTAAAGTGGAAAACAAAAGAGACCTAGCCTAAGGGAATCAAAAGAAATCAACAAAAAGTTCCCATTATCCTCACACAGCTCTCACCAGACACACAAATTCCCTCCTACTCACCAGGTTCTTCTTTGACCCTTATTTTCCTTGGTCTTTCCATATTCGCTAGGAAATGTCTGCTTAGTACATGAATATTTTGTTTGGTTTTATGATCTAGATAATATGATTTTGACACTTCCTGAAAAACAGGCATTGTGTAAATAAATAACATATGGCAAACTCATTCCAAGCTGCTAACAAAAAGACAGTAGTAGAATGCCATATTAATAAAGTGATTTCAGTCCCGAGGAAGACCAAGGCGCATGTTTTAAAGCATTTCCTTAAAGTATGATAGGACATGATACGGGAGATGGAAGGGGCGGATGGAGGGATAAGGGACATTCTCACACAGCTGATTTGATATAAAATAAAGTCTTCTCAGAGGTGCCAGGTAATGTAAGTGCTCTAGACCCAGCAGGAAGCTTTGGGGGAACTTACCTGGGAGTAGCATATATACTGGAAGAAGGTGGTACGTACATTGTAAGAATTTATGTTTCTTTTTTAATCTATACAAACATTCTTGTTTCGTTCTCAGTTTCAGTGAGATATAATTGACCTACGGCACTGTGTACGTTTAAAGTGTACGGCCTAATGACTTGGCATGTTGTGAAGTGATGTACAAAACTTGTTCTTGATTTCTTTCGATTCTCTCAGGTTAGGTCTCTTTTGTTTCCCATTTTATTAAGTAACTGTTAGGAATTTCTCAGAACTATGGATATAGCACGGTTCTTCCTGTCACTGTGCTCAAAACCCCAGGCCAATCTTTTCATCTGGTTCTATCTGTCACTTATCACCTCTCAAGTCTGTGCATCTCTCTCTGGGACCCACCACCTCCTCTCCGTTCTTCCTGCCACGACTCCCCGTTCAGAGCCACAAAGGAGCATCCTCTCTGAGCATCCGTTCGTTCATCTAGTGCTTACGGAGTTTCTCCTGTAACCCTCCGCCAGACACCGGGGACACAAAGATGAGTGGCTTCCTCGCCGTCACTTATCACCTCTCAAGTCTGTGCATCTGTCTCTGGGACCCACCACCTCCTCTCCGTTCTTCCTGCCACGACTCCCCGTTCAGAGCCACAAAGGAGCATCCTCTCTGAGCATCCGTTCGTTCATCTAGTGCTTACGGAGTTTCTCCTGTAACCCTCCGCCAGACACCGGGGACACAAAGATGAGTGGCTTCCTCGCCCTCAAGGAATCAGTCTAGTCGGGGGGCCTAGGGGATGAGCAGTGATAGGTCATTACAGTACTACATTCCTAAAACTGTTTTTGAAAAAGTCACTGTGTTATATTAACTCAAGTGCCTTTCTTATTCTCAGTATAAGTATTAGAAAAGTAAGTTAAACACTAGTTATGTATTTTCTAAAACTGTTTTTGAAAAAGTCACTGTGTTACATTAACTCATGTGCCTTTCTTATTCTCAGTATTAGAAAAGTAAGTTAAACACTAGTTATGTATTTGCTTTTTTATGGTTAATTTTACCCATAGTAACAGTAAAAGCTTAAAGTTCTCTTTGAAATGTACATTTTTAAATTTCTGTGTCACCTTTGATGTCTAGGGCTTTCATTGACAAGTGTCTCTTCGTAAAGTTAATACACTTCTTTAAGAATGACTCTCTACTCTCGGAACAGTCCCACTCCTTGCGATTAAAGATCTAGTCTCTTCGTAAAGTTAATACACTTCTTTAAGACTCTCGGAACAGTCCCACTCCTTGCGATTAAAGATCTGCACATTCAGATCGATACTTGTGTCTGAATCTTTTTCCTGAATTCAGATTTAATTGTCTGACTGTCCCTTTGATAAATGGCAGCCAGCCCATCATTTCAAAACAATGACTAGAAACAATCACTAAGGAGAGAGATGGACGATGAATGTTTTATGGGGGATCATGGTATATAAACTATTGTTCTGTTTACTTCCAGCTACAAGAAGACACATGAAACCCTGAGTCACGCAGGGCAGAAGGCAACTGCTGCTTTCAGCAATGTTGGGACGGCCATCAGCAAGAAGTTCGGAGACATGAGGTACCGTGGGAGAGAACCCCGGGAATGTGCTCAGCCCTTGGCTGCTAGAGAGAGGAGGAGCGTTATCTATTGGCTAGTCTTCCTAAGATAGTCTTTTTTAATTGGATTAACATGTTATGGGGCAGATAGTGATTGGTGACTGAGATAAATTATTATATTAGGACATATTCTGACTGGAGGTCAGTTTAGTGGCAGGACTGTCCCGAAGATGCCCTTTCCACTAGGACCCAACCTGCTAAAAATAGAAGATAGAGGATGTCTGTAATCGCTGGTAATAAGAGATTTCAAAAGAACACAGCACACATGAATTTTCATTATTGTAATTTAACCAATAAATTAAAATAAAATATGTATTCAGTGGAATATACTCTGATAAACCATTCTAGTTACAGTTTTATATACATCCATTTTTCTATGCTAAATACATAACGTATGTATTATTTTATTCCAAAAAGTTACTATATGGTGTATATTTCTGGTAGTTTTCTTTCTTCACTTTAGCAATATTGTGAACATGTCAATAAATGTCTATTACATTTTTAATAACTTTACTATCTTCCAGTGCATTTCCTTGCACATTTTGGTTATTTTTCAGTATTTCACTATTATATAAAATTAGGTGATCATTAAAATTTTGAACTGAGAACCAAATGTCCTCACTATAGTCACCAGAAAAACATTGTAGTATTGACCATTGTTTTTTATATTATGTGCTAAGGAGTTATATAGAATTGTTCTCTCATGCTTTTTTGCTTGTTTAAATACCTATCATAGTTTATTTGGAATTTAGCTGACATGCTTATGTGATTTTTTAAATTTATAAACCAATTTCCTTTTTCTCTAGAAATCAAATTCATTCTTTAAAAACTTTTAAAGTACATTTTAAGTTTCTTCTTTTAAAAAGATCTGTGTGAATTATTTCATTGGATTCTTAAACTATTAATTTTTTATTACCCTGCAACTTTGATACCTAGAGGGAAATATTTATATCTTTGTGTTTAAGTTATGTTTTTACTTCAAATATTGCTAGATTGTGCCCAATATTAATGCTCCATCTTAATAACTTGGTATTCATGAGGCTGGAGTTAAGTGAGAAATGTACATTAATCTGAGTACTAGTAATAAACACCATTGAAATTCTTCAGAGATAGCATGTGATTAACAGGTAAACCTTCTGTATTTTAATTAACCTTAATTTTATTACAAATAAAATTTGCAATCATTTCAATGGTATTAAAACATTGATCTAAACTAGTTAAATAATTCCTTAAATGGTATTAAAACATTGATCTAAACTAGTTAAATAATTCCTATTACCTGTTATATCCAAGAAAATAGATTTTGCCACGTTTATAAAATTCATTCTCCACATACTTACTTGAAACCTTTCACTTGAACAGTGGGACCTTGGTGTTTCTTTATCTTTAGGGGAATTATAAGCAGCTCTGAATCTTGTTTAAGATACATATTTCCAGATTGCACCTCCCCGAGTTGTGCCTCAGTCTTGGGTAGAATCTAGGAATCTGCTTAGTAACAAGCTCCCAGGTGATTCAACTTCAAATGGTCAGGTTCCGAGGAAGCCAGGTGCAACTTAGCTCCCGTGTACCTGGGTTGTGTCAGTTATGAAATGGGGGTAAGAGTAACAACACCATCGAGTTATTTTAAAAGCAACAGAGAACCTGCCATGTATTCAGCACTCGAAAAATGCTAGTTTTTATCTTCACTAAGGGACCATCTCACTGACAAGGTGGCTCCAAAGGGCAGAAATTAGAAAGAATCCATTAGCCCGGCTGGCTTGGCTCAGTGGTTGAGTGTCAGCCTATGAACCAGGAGGTCATGGGTTAGATTCCCAGTCAGGGCACAAGCCTGGGTTGTGGCTTGATCCCCAGTGGGGCCTGCAGGAGGCAGCCAATCAATGATTATCTCTCATCATTGATGTTCCTATCTCTTTCTCCCTCTCCCGTCCTCTCTGAAATCAGTAAAAACATATTAAAAAAAAAAAAACCCCTACCAAATTAAAATGTTTCCTGTGAAATTAAAATGAGGTCACATTTGTGAAAGTATTCTGAAGAAATGCAAGCTGATGGAATACTTTTTATGATATTGGCATCTTCCTGATACTTCTCAGGAATTTGTTCAAACTGCATGTGATCTGGTGCAGATGAAATCTTTGGAGGAGGCACATGATTTCATTAGAGAGTTTCACCATCATTATGTTTCCATGAGAATAATAGTTAGAAGTCAGTAGACTCAAAAACTGTAATGAATGGAATTACTGTTTGCTTTGGGGCTCTTAGCAGAGGGGACAAGGGCCAGTGTAGTGTATCTTTTTCTCCTGATGTGCTAATGCTGCTCCTGCTCTTCTCTCCATGCTGCCCTGGCTGCAGGTCTCACTCCATCGGGTAAGCGCTGCCTGGGGGCCCTCAGCCCCTTCCTTCCCAGAGCTGTCTTTCTTCACTGTGTGGGTGTGCCTCTGCCAAAAAACTAAGTCTCTCTTCCTGAGAGTGTTCTGACCAGGGAGTTACAGACTGTGGGGGGCGGGGGGGGCATCTAAGGCATTTGAATTTATGTAAGCACATATTTGTCTCCTTTCTGAATCATTTACACCAGCTTCACTTGCTGCCCAATCTCTTAGGAATCTCTTTTCTGCATCATTTCTCCCTATGTTGGCAGAGTTCCTTCTGAGAGAAGGAAAAAAGGAACATGGATATTGAGAGTTGTGTATTTTTATAAAACTTAGAGAAAGTAAGGTCCAGAAACAGCAAATTACTTTCTCTAGACTGCCATGTTTTCTGAACATCTTGTGACTGTTGTTAATGGGATGGTTCATCTTCAACTTTCCGTACCTTCTGAAGTTGAAGAGGGAAAAAGTTACTGGAGAAGCACATATGTTAGGCACCGTGCCCTGAATTAAGCTTTTTTTTTTTTAAAGCTGGAATCTCATTATATGCTTTTTTTTGGAATTTGTTTTTTTGAGAAAACTGTCTCTATTTAAGGAGATTAATAGATTGATAATGCTGATGAATTTATTTTAGTAATTCTTTTTTAATACAATTTCTGAGGAAATATTTTGTTTATGGTTTCCAAATGGAGTGTTTAAGGTAGAACCATAGTATCACCTGAATTTCTTTGTCCGTTCGTTTCCATTCTAGTCAAGTGCCACCCATACAATGGCCTCAGTGGATATTGTTGGGAAAGGGTGATGAGTTTGATCCCTTCCCAGTTAGCTTCTTGGGAGGGGAGAAAGCAGGGATGGTGTTGGGACGTGGAAAATGGACTGTCTCGTGTTAACTACCTATATTCCTCTGGAGAGTTTCACTGTAATGGAACAATTAGCTGTTACTGGCTCAGCTCTATTTCCCATCTTCTTGACCAGGGGAAGGGGGTGGAGAAGGAGCAGGCCCTTGGCAGGATGCTCATGGGGTTGACCTGAAAGGAACCAGACATTCACATCAGACTTCCTGGCCTACAGGGCACCTACAGGAAGTAAAAGAATATGCAACTATGTACCGCCTATTCTTCCCTTGTCCCCTTGGAATCGACTGTGGCCCATGCTACCCAATGAAAACAAATATCATCTTGGTGGGTTGGGCAGCAAACACTTCAGAGAGTTGAGATTGCTATTTTAGAACAGTGAGGAGGGAGTTTCTCATGTGCTTATGTTGTGCTATCTTCTCTTTTCTTTCTTTTCTTCCCTTTAATCTGCTTTTGCCCTGAAGCTACTCCATTCGCCATTCCATAAGTATGCCTGCTATGAGGTAATGTGTATAAATTATTTTACGTAATGTTAATGCAGAAGTTGTATGAACTGTCACTTTACTGATATTTACCTGGTGGATTTTTTTTCTCCTGTATATGAAAGGACGTGCCATGAACTACTTTGTTCTCTTTTCCGGTGGTCCTCGGGAGAACCTGTGGTACTTTGACAATCCTATAAAAGTAGTGTAGATTCGATGAGCTTGGGCTTCTGACCGGACACCCCAGCTTAAATCTCCTGATATGTGAGACTTGGGACAAGTTATTTAATTTACCTCAATCTTCATTAAAAGCTACTTTATATAGTTGTTGTGAGATATAAACAAAGTGACCTATGTAAGGCCTAGAACATTCTGAGCACACTTGCAAAGGTAGAAATATATTTCCCCAGAATTAAATGCAAGGTTGGAAGAAAGTTTAAATGAAAGGGAAAGTTTAAATGAGAGGGAGCAGATTTAGAAAGGATATCATTAGGCTTTTTAAGGTATAAATTAAGGTGAGGTATCTGTTGAACAATAAAAAATATCATTAAAATTACTGTCAAGATGAAAACTGAGAAAGATGGCCTCCGCTTCCAGTGTGCTTGAGTTTGTGATACAGTCAGATAAGATCAAGCTCATAGGCATAGCGTATCAAGGAGCTGATGTTAGACTGGGAATCAGAGGATACAGGTTGTAGGCGAAGGCTGCCAGGAATGAATTTTGCAGCCTTGGAAACTCACCTCAGTGATATGTTTCATCATGTTTATAAGTAAGAGACTAGAACCAGATGTACTGCTTTTCCCATAGTGTTTGCCTTGAGTTGCCATGGTGATGGGGAGGGGAAGCAGAATCAAGGCCCTGGGACCCTACCCCACTTTAGTTAAAACTCTGCTTCTCCAACCTGCTTGGTATCATATGTTGTGGTGTGGATACATTAGAGAGGGGGTTCAGTTACTCTTCACATTTGTAGTGCACCAAAGCCAAGTCCTTTCTGGGGTCATTTGCACTGCTAAAAGTTTGTAGTTTTATATAATATAATTAAATCTGAGTAAACAGTTTCTCCCTGTTCTCCAGTATGTATTCTACTGTAATTTAATTTGAGAAATGCCTGTTTCATTATGTCCGACGATGTCTCTTCTACACTGGGGTTGTTTGGTTACTTTGGGAATTTAATCACAGTATTCGATTTCCCTAATTTGGTGGTAGAGAGCATAGATTCAGGATTGCTTTGTTCCTATTTGAATGACTTGCTCCCCACAGCGTAAGAACAGCCAGACTGAGTAGTGTAACCTGAGGGGCTCTGAGCTCCTTTACGTCAAATTTTAAGTCTAGAGCTTGCAAGAAATTAACATGATTTTGCTCTATGAACCAGGAGTTCATCTAGTGGCTTATGGGTCAAAATCAGTCCTCATAAAATTGCCTGAAATTAACTTGAAAAGAAAAATGACGTTACTCTTCTAAAATATACCCATAAACCATTAGGCAAACTGTCTGCCCAGTGTGGCCTAATGTAACTGACGGATGACAGCAGTCACATGAGCAGTCTGGCCAGATAGAACTTGCCATGGAAGTCAGGTGCCAGTAAGTGTCTACTTTTGAGTCATTCAAGTGTAATTTCACTAATTCTTCCTCCTGAAACAGAGGTATTATGGAGGATCACTCATAGGAATTTGACTCATATTTGAATCAAATACAAGGTGCGGAGCCATGCGTGGGCCTTCCGATCTCGCCATTGTGAATTCATGCAGCCAGAACGCAAAGACATACATTTTTGATCATCTGGAGCATCCAAGTCTTAGGCGGCAATCCCTAACAAAGCCAGAGTCACTCAAAACCATGTCCTCTACGTTACTTTCCTCTTGATAGTATTAGAGCGATGCTCCATTCCCCACCATGCAATGAAGCCCCTATTTTATAGCCATTCTCCCTTCCGAAGTTTCTCCAGGCCATTCCTCTTATTTTCTTTCCTCTGCACTCAACAGAGAATAATAACTGGTTTATCAAATGGAATTATTTGGTGTGAAAATGATGGCTGTCCTTGTTGCTGAAAGCTGACATGGACACAAGATTTAAGACACATTTTTAGTTCAGTTTTTATTTCTTTAGTTGGACTTGGTGATATCAATTTCTATGGTAATGTTGTCATTAAGTCATGTCATGTGACCAAACCCAGTATAGGAAACCAAAAGGCACCAAATGAAGTATTTAACACTTATAGTTACAAATGGTATAGATTATTTAACACAATGACGAGTCACAAATAAAATGTCAGTGGACTGTGAAGTTTCGCTCTGCTAAGAGAACAATTAGTTATATCCTCTTCGGAAGGGAAAATACCACATACTAATAACACCATTTTGACAAAGCATTAGACAAGTAATAAGTAATATTTCAACTTACAATAATCAAAGCATTGACTTTCAGAAACACTTCTTTATGAAAGTTGACCAAATGATTACTTTTGAAGGCACTGAAAAGAAAAACTTATAAACCTTCTTTTCCTTGAGCTATTTCTGTCTTGTCTCACATACACTGAAATGAATAACTTTAAAATTCCAAGTGAGAAAACTCAAACATGACATTCTTTAGACAGATTCTGCATGCTTACAAAATTAAAAAAAAGTTGGGAGAAAGAGTGTTGTGATAGAAGCAATTAGTAAATGAAAAATTAAGCTATCACTCCTTTGACTTATTGATAATGACTCACGGTGCATGATGGAATTATTATGTTTGTACTGTTGCCAAATGCTGTACTATTCTACAGTTGAGTGTCTCACTATTCCACTTGGAAAAATTCCATGTCAAGTATGGTTTCTGAATCTAACCTGGCAGAAGTGAAATTCATGTTATTAAAACGTGGTCGGGTAGGTGCCACATTGACAGCTAGCTCTGTTGCAGAAGTGATGTTTCTAAGAGCAGAAATCAGACAGCTTAGTTACTAACACAGGCAGGTCTTTGGAGCTGACCTCTCTTTTTTTGTTATTTTAGGAATTCTCCTACTTTCAAATCATTTGAGGAGAGGGTTGAGACAACTGTCACAAGTCTTAAGGTACAGATGAAGTGAATTTTGTGTCATCGGGCCATTGAATCAGGACAGCATAGTCATTGCTGTGGTTAGTTCCAAGGGTGTACTGCCAACCTGCGGTGCAGTCGAGAAAGCGGCCTTGCACAGTCAGGCTTCACATATAAATCCGTAAATAGAACCAGGCTTGAGTAGTGTCACTGTATCCTGACAAATATGCCACTAGAAATGAATTGTTCATGGAAGTGAATTGGGGTACGTATTCATCTCTGCACTGGTTAGCTGGTTAGACCTCCTAATGCTATTCCTAGAAAAGTAGGTAAGTGAGAGAGGATGTGGATGGACCAAAGGATCTGTGAATTCTGAATTTAGAGTGTAAGTTCAATAACAGTTCAACGCTCCTCTGGGATGGACATGGACCAGCAAACACAAACTTGGCTCCCTGTGTTATACTGCCACTCACTACCTGTCAGCTGCCTAAACTTATTTATCCAATTCACATATTAAGCACAGCACAGTTTGGTTATCATGCAGGGAAAATAAAGCGGAGTCACGTGATGCATTATTTTGTAACAGTGCATTGGATCCCTGGGTATAAACTAAAAATATGCCTGTGGCATACATAGTAGGAGCTAAAAAATTTTATTGACTTTTTTTGTTTCAGCAGAGATAAGTTATTTTACAGAGGAAAAAAAAGAGCGAAATTAAATTCAGTCTAATCTTAAAATGTGTAGAACGTTTAAAGCAGGAAAAATCACTGAAACTGCTAAGATCATGTTTTTAAAGATATCACCTCAACAATGACTTACCTATATCTTGGTATCATTATCACTGTTTTGTAGAGAATCCATTTCTGCATTTCCTTATTACTAAGAAAATTAAAAATACAGATGATCTTTAACCGGATCTAAAGCAGATATTTGCACATACTGATTCCAGCTGCTTCTGAATCCCCTGTCACCATACTGCCTGAGAAGGGTCTGTGAGGGCGTCTGTTCCTCACGAGAGGCCCTGGGTGCTCTTACTGATTTTGATTTAGAAGGTCTTTCCTCTTAGGGGGAGGGTCTTTAACATAGAAATCTTCTACTTTATTAGGCCTGTGATTAGGTGTTTAAGGCCCAAGAATGAAATAATTACTCAGCACCTATCATGCCTTCACTGGTTTCATTTACCAGCAGTTTCTGGTTGTGCAGTTTCATCCCTCTGCTTGTCAGCATCATCACCTGAGTGACCAGTAGAGCCATTAAATTGCCCCCATTGGCAGGGAAAACGTTTGGTAGGGAGGGACATGCGTTATCTCGGACATTTCTCTTGCTCCAATATCCTGTTTTAAAACAAAAGGCTCAAAAACCCCTAGGAGTCAATTTCTCAACATTTGGTTCTCAGCCTAAGACATGCCAAAGAGGATGGATTCTGTTGCTTGTTAGACACGTTCTGACTTAGAGGAGAAGTTATGCTTTTTAGGTTTTCTTTAGAAGAAGGAGCTATGAAGAAGCAAAAGAAGAATAAAGAGCAACCAATTTTCATTTGCTTTTAGGAAACTCTGGTAAGCTCACAGCTCACGTATGATTTTATGATTTAAGTGTTGTTCACACTCTCAGCTTCTCACTTTCTTACCTCACTGGGATGGAAGGCAGAGAGCCTGTCTCCTCCTTCAAACACGCACAAAACTAACTCAGCCAGCTGGAAACTAGCCCGTGTCAAGACCTCCTGAAAGTGAATTCTGTGTTGGCATGATTGTCCACAGGTTTAACAAGACTCACAGCCCACCTGCTTCCTGCGTCACGGTCAATGCCTAGTCCCTCTGTTTCTGCCCACCCAGGCGATGGAGAATAGCCAGTAATCATGCTTTGTGTAAAACCTCCCACTCCCTCATAATTGCAAATTTCTCATTTCTTTTTTTTCTTCAGACTAAATAATAGATGTTTGGCCCTTTTTATATAGCTTATTTTCTGTATAGTTTACTTTTGTGTCCTAAATCTTTTACAACATTTCTGTCATGTTCTTCAATTGTGGATCCTGGGGCTGTTGCCTGCTGAGGGAATGACTGGGGAATCAGCAGGACGAGTGGAATTCCTGGCAGGTCTACTAGTATATGCTGCATTGCCATGCTCACATACTGCTTTAAGCTTGATTTTTAAATAAAAAGGCAAGACACTTATTGTTTCTTTGGGTCCTTTCAACCAGGTATTTTATTATGAGAGGTTGGGAAACACCATTCATTAATTCAAATAAACTTTTTTGCAAAGAACAAGTATAATTTTGGGGACAAAGAGACAAATTCTTGTTTGGAAAATCATTACGAGGGGAAGCGATATGGAGTGGTTTATTGTTCACATCTTTGCTTAAGCCAGTCCTTGCCTAAAGTATTGCAGTGGGCAGTCATTAGGCCCACATAGTTAGGAAACTCCTTTATTTCACTCCTTTTGGCCAAATAGCTTTATTTCAAAGTGGTTCCCTCCTTCTTTTTTTTTTTCTATTTTGATGTGAGAAAATCAAGAAGTAGGAGAGAAAGAATGAAACAATGCCCAGAAGAAAACATGAGTAATTTGTATTGATCTGATTCAATACTGTGTGTAACATGTACTGCAAAAGAGGAATGCGAATAAAATAAAGAAGAGAATGGGGACTATTAATAGAGTAAATCAGTGGATTAATCTTGCTTCTCCCAGAAAAGAAATAAGCATAGTGAAAAAAAAGTCACATAATGGAAAGAAACCCCCTCCTTCCCAGTGCTAAGAGGAGAGGAGAAATCGAATGCTCTGTGCAGAGGTCTGTAACCTGAGGCTTGGGGGCCAAGTCTAGCTGGTCACCTATTTTGAATGGCCTGTAAGCTAAGAATGGTTTTTACACCTCTTGAATGGCTGAAAAATAAAAACAACAAAGAAAAATCATATTTGTGACTTGTGACAATGAAATTACATGACATTCACTCTGCAGTTTCATACAGTCTTTCTGAAGCACAGCCGTGCTCATTCACTTATGCATCATCTTTGGCTACTTTCTACAACGGCTAATTTAAGTATTTGTGATTCCCAAGCCTAAGATATAGGGTGTCCCCCAAAAATGTATACACACACTTTGAATAATTATAAAGGCAGTGTTTATTAAATACATTGCCTTTTCAAAACTGAGCTATCAGCTGGTAAAGTATGTACACATGTTTTGGGACACCCTGTGTTTATCTGTCACTTTCCCCAATGGATTTCCCGACCCCCACCTGATGGAAAAATTCAACTTTGTAATTAAAGAGGTAGAGAGGCACTTAGTGACAATTGGAGAAAAGTGTGTGTTTGCTTGTAATGATTGGACTGCTTTAGAACCCTGGTTAAGGTTTTAAAGGGGCAGGCCAGGCCGTAGGCCAGTGATGGCGAACCTTTTGAGCTCGGCGTGTCAGCATTTTGAAAAACCCTAATTTAACTCTGGTGCCGTGTCACATATAGAAATGTTTTGATATTTGCAACCATAGTAAAACAAAGATTTACATTTTTGATATTTATTTCATATATTTAAATGCCATTTAACAAAGAAAAATCAACCAAAAAAATGAGTTCGTGTGTCACCTCTGACACGCATGTCATAGGTTCGCAATCACTGCCGTAGGCGGATACACTGCTTCCCCAGAGTGGTGTATGTTCTTGTGAGGGATCACCTTGGTGACAGTGAGGCGTGACAGCAGTTTGAGAATAGCAACCTTTTCTATACCTTTCTTTTCCTCGGAGTGATTATCCATATTGTTAATGGTTAAAGAAAGGCTGATGTAACTATTATTAAGACTTTCATTAAGCATTCTTGCTGACTAAAGAATATACTTTCGAAGAACTTTTTATTAGGGAATTTTTCAAAATACTTAATTGTATTATTTAATTATAAATTGATTTCTTCCTGAGTCTATGCTTAATAACAAGTACACAAAAAAGGAGTGTTGTAAAGGGCCATTTAAAGGGCTTTTCCTCCTGTAAAGGCAACTGCCTAGAAAGATGTGAAGTGGCCAGGGCTTAACACTTCATTCATCTACAACTCTCGAAGCAGAGACCAACAGTCATGTTCCGTGGAGCCACTCTGCCTTTTCAAGAGATATTTGTCAGAAATGCAGATTGCCTAGTTAAATCTCAAGTGGAAATCCTAAGTCTAAGTCACTTAAAAATGTCCATACATTTGTAAAATTGGGGGAATATATCGAAAGTCTGTTTTTTATGAATTAAATCGTTTCTCTGGGTGAGTGAGGAGATAATTCGAATCCACAGATCTGGTTATGCTCCTGGAGGGATTGAGAATGTAGAAGAGAGAGAGTTGCTACCATTGCACAAAATTTAAGTTTCTATTCCAGTCCCGGAACCCAGGCATGCATGACATCCTAGCCCTCTGCCAAAGGAAGCTGACTTCTCTACATCCTTTACAGACTGTCTCAAGGGAAAAAAAGTAGTTCCGAACTTGAGAATAGTCGATGTTATAAAAACATTTCAGAAAAAAATGAACTAACTGCATGTTTGCTTCTCTGCCCCTTTCAGACGAAAGTAGCGGGGACGAACCAGGGCGGAGGCAGCTTTGAAGAGGTGCTCAGCTCCACCGCCCACGCCAGCGCGCAGAGCTCGGCGGGCGCCCCCCGGCGGGCGGAGGAGGAACTGCAGTGCTAGGGCTGCCAGCCCAAGCCCATCACCCCACGCACCCACACGGATATGAAGACCAAAATCCCACTGGCAGAACCTAGGCCTTGACCTTCAAATGGCCTCTCCACAAAGTTTCATAAAGTGATTTCCATTTGTATTTGTGTTGATAATGGACCATTCGATCGCACCCTTAAGTAGTCACAGGTGGTCATCTTTTAAAATGTCCTGATTTGAGCAGGTACAAAATTGGTCATGACCCTTCTCTTTGTGTAATTCAGACATATTTTTCAAACATAAGCTATTGTTTGCTTTGATTTTTGCTTGGACGCCATTACCATACGCATGTCTCCGAAGGCTGAGTGAGCACCCCCTTCAGTTCAGTCTGTCCACTGGGGGCGCTGCCTCTGTCCCCATCAATAGGATGACACTGCAAATTTCATCAAACTGCTTGTGGTCCGCCTCACCTACATTAATTACACGTTTATTTAAGCAATTAAAATAGTGGATTTTAATGATGACTTTGAGTTCTTAATTTCTTTAAGTCTTCAGGGATATCAATGACCTTAAAAGGTGATAGCAATAATTCTGCAGACGCTAGTTTAAATCAACTTCTGCTATCGGGTGAACATGGAAAGAGATAGGTAAGTATTATAATCTTAGCTACTTTAAGATGCTAAAACTTCAATTCTAAAAGTCTCTCTAACCTACATAGAGTAGTAGTTAACTCAGGTAAACTGCTAAATATGTAAGGGTATCCGCAAAAGGAATACAGTAGCTAGAAAATGGGAGAAGCGCCCTAGCCTATTTGGCTCAGGGATAGAGCCTCTGCCTATGGACCGAAGGGTCTTGTGTTCGATTCTGGTCTCGGGCCTGGGTCCTGGTCAGGGCATGTGCAGGAGGCAACCAATCGATTTCTCTCACATCGATATTCCTCTCTGTCCCTCTCTCTTCCAGTCTGTCTCTTAAAAAAAAAAAGAAGAAGAAAGAAAGAAAGAAAAAGTGCAGACTCCTGCCAGTTTGTAAAATTGGTCACGTGAATGAAAAAAGCATCATTTAGGACCAAAGGGTCTTGGGTTCGATTCTGGTCTCCGGCCTGCGTCCTGGTCAGGGCATGTGCAGGAGGCAACCAATTGATTTCTCTCACATCGATATTCCTCTTTGTCCCTCTCTCTTCCAGTCTGTCTCTTAAAAAAAAAAAAAGAAGAAGAAAGAAAGAGAAAAAGTGCAGACTCCTGCCAGTTTGTAAAATTGGTCACGTGAATGAAAAAAGCATCATTTAATGCAATCAGATCTCCGCAGTAACTTTTACTTTCCACATCATATGCTTCTCTTTCCTTCTAAATGGGACATAACATGTGTTAGTAGGTAGCAGAGATATACCCTATACTTACATTTTAAAAATGCACACAAACTAGACCTACTAACTAAAGTAAAAAATCACAATTTAGATACATATATAAATACTAGAGGCCCAGTCCACGAATTCATGCACCAGTGGGGTCCTTCGGCCTGGCCTGCGGGATGGGGCTGAAACCGGCCCTCCAACATCCCCTGAGGGGTTCTGGATTGCGAGAGGGTGCAGGCCAGCTCGAGGGACCCCACCAGTGCACAATCAGGGCCAGGGAGAGATGCGGGAGGTTGGCCAGCTGGGGAGGGACTGAAGGAGGGCTCCAGTGCTTGTCTGGCCCGTCTCGCTCAGTCCCGATCGCCTGGACCCCAGCAGTCGGAGCATCTGTCCCCTGGTGGTCAGTGCACGTCATAGCGACTGGTCGACCAGTCGACTGTCTGCCCCCTGGTGGTCAGTGCATGTCATAGTGAGTGGTTGAGTGACCTTAGCATATCATTAGCATGTTATGCTTTGATTGGTTGAACAGCCGACCAGACAACCTGATACTTAGCATATTAGGCTTTTATTATAAACTAGAGGCCCGGTGCACAAAAATTTGTGCACTGGGGGGGGGAGGACGTCTGGTCTTATTAGCATATTACACTTTTATTATTATAGAGGATATAACATATAATCCATGTAATATATGTAGCCTGTATATAGTTAGTATGTTCACTGTTCATTTCTAAAATTTATTAAGTAGAAGTGGACATGTGAAATAAAGCCAGTCTGTGAAATTCTATTCTGATGAATGGAGCAGGGCAGTCTGTGTACCTAACTGAAAATCAAGCTGGCTCAGGGCCACATGACCTCTGAGTCCTGGACGCATAGCAGAGACAGGTATAGGTCTGTAAACTTGAACCAGAGTGGACGAATGTGGACAAAGAAGTCCTGCCAGTAAGTGCATTACTGTTTGCCCTAATTTCTCCTTCCAGCCTGTTGGCTGAAGCTGAGCCCTGCCCCACTGGATTCTGACCATGTTACTCGTCCACTGCACGTGGGTACTCACCTCTGTGCCGAATCTGCAGTTGCCTAGTGCATTTGAAATGGTCATTTTTTTGTAACCTCATCACCTTTATTTATTTATTTATTTTTTACCACATTCAGTACACCGAATTGTAATATAAAAAAAGCAATTATGGCGCTTATGTACTAGTAAACAAGTATCTTCATTCACCAAACTATTTTTGCACACAGTAGTCCCAGCCTTACAATCTGAAAGCACAGTATCAAAATTGGGTAGAAAAATACTCAAGCCCAGCCAGCGTGGCTTAGTGGTTGAGCACTGACCCATGAACCAGAAGGTCACAGTTCGATTCCTGGTCAGGACACATGCCCGGGTTTTGGGCTCCATCCCAGGTGTGGGGCGTGTAGGAGGCAGCTAATCAACGATTCTCTTTCATCACTGATGTTTCTAGTTCTCTCTCCCTCTCTCATTTACTCTCTGGAATCAAGAAAAATATGTTTTTTTAAAAAGAAAAAGAATTAAGAAAGTTAATGTTGATGCCGCAAAGCTGCAAATATATTTAGCTATTTATAATGGAGCAGGGAAGTCTGTGTACCTAACTGAAAATCATGATTTCTGAGTCCTGGACGTGTAGCAGAGACAGGTATAGGTCTGTAAACTTGAACCAGAGTGGACGAATGTGGACAAAGAAGTCCTGCCAGTAAGTGCATTGCTGCTCGCCCTAATTTCTCCTTCCAGCCTGTTGGCTGAAGCTGAGCCCTGCCCCACTGGATTCTGACCATGTTACTCGTCCACTGCACGTGGGTACTCACCTCTGTGCCGAATCTGCAGTTGCCTAGTGCATTTGAAATGGTCATTTTTTTGTAACCTCATCACCTTTATTTATTTATTTATTTTTTACCACATTCAGTACACCGAATTGTAATATAAAAAAAGCAATTATGGCGCTTATGTACTAGTAAACAAGTATCTTCATTCACCAAACTATTTTTGCACACAGTAGTCCCAGCCTTACAATCTGAAAGCACAGTATCAAAATTGGGTAGAAAAATACTCAAGCCCAGCCAGCGTGGCTCAGTGGTTGAGCATTGACCCATGAACCAGAAGGTCACAGTTCGATTCCTGGCCAGGACACATGCCAGGGTTTGGGGCTCGATCCCAGGTGTGGGGTGTGTAGGAGGCAGCTAATCAATGATTCTCTCTCATCACTGATATTTCTAGCTCTCTCTCCCTCTCTCATTTCCTCTCTGAAATCAAGAAAAATATGTTTTTTAAAAAAGAAAAAGAATTAAGAAAGTTAATGTTGATGCCGCAAAGCTGCAAATATATTTAGCTATTTAAATCATTCTTCATTTCATCAGTTTGGTAAAAGCTATATTCTTGTCACCTCTATTAATTGCAAAGCTTTTAAAAAATTATTCACTCTAATATCTGGGAGTGATATAAGGACCATAACATGAGTTGTCTTTTATTTCGTCATAAGATGTGCATGAACAAGCCACATCAATGATTAGAATAATCAAGACATTTGCTGGTAGGTAGGTAGTCTTGGGCTAGAGGTTTCATTGCTGTGTTGCCTGCTCACTCAAGAGCTGCCTGTTTCGCCCTCACTTTGCAAGTGCAAGTTCACACGCAGTGGCAGTAGTCGTGTTCCACAAGTGCTAAGGCATTTGCCACAATGAACGTGACCTTTTAGTAACAAATCAAAATGACATCTGGTCAGGACCACATCTATACAAAATGATACCACAACAAACAATGTACGGTAGTCTTCCTTATCCCCCGCTTCCCTTTCTGCAGTCTGTTACCCTCAGTCAACCTCGGTTCAACAGTATTAAATGAAAAATTCCAGAAATAAACAATTCACAAGTTTTAAATTGCACATCATTCTAAGCAGCATCACGAAATCTCGAGCCATCCCTCTCCGTCATGCCAGAGACGAGAATCAGTCCTTTGTCTGGTGTCTGCACATTGTATATGCTCCCCACCCAGTAGTCACTTAGTAGCCGTCTGAATGGTCAGATGCAGGGCTTGTGTTCAAGTAACCCTTATTTTACTTAATAATGGCCCCAAAGGGCAAGAATAGTAATGCTGGCAGGTGCAGCGATTTACTCACCTTGTGGCCAACCCAGACAAGTCCCACATCCCAGTTCCCTTGCACGTTAACCTGCCCCTATCCAGGGGTGGGCAAACTTTTTGACTCGAGGGCCACAATGGGTTCTTAAACTGGACCGGAGGGCCGGAACAAAAGCATGGATGGAGTGTTTGTGTGAACTAATATAAATTCAAAGTAAACATCATTAAATAAAAGGGT